CAATCCCCTTAACAGATCAAAGCCTAGCTATTTCTACCCAGGCTAGTCACAGACGGCTAGTCACAGCTGAAGCTCTCTTACCTGCTCGTGGTTCTGCTTGAGACACAGCAGCTCCTCCTTCAGGGACTCCACCTGCGCCTCCAGGTCGGACTTGCACAGGGTCAGCTCATCCAGGATCCTGCGCAGGCTGTTGATGTCGGCCTCCACCAGCTGCCGCAGGGACAGCTCCATCTCATACCTGGTCATGGAACCACAGGGCCAAAGGTCAGCGGGGAAGACTTTGTTTCCTCCGATGTACCTGACCGCTCTCATGCCATTCATTAGATTTTGAAATGTGGTGATTTTTTTTACAAATCTTTTTGAAAGGAAAAAATAAACCCGCTGTGCTGAGTGAGACCCGTTTCTTCCCCGAAGCCTGCCAAGTTCTCGTCCAACATGATCTGTTCTGAGAATCTCATTCACAGGTGGCTCTCTAAGCCCCATCATCTTTGCCTTTTTAAGTAAGTCAGTGAACTTCATGAGTCTATTACGAATGGGCTTGATTTGTCTCAGAGCCTTGCTTTTCTCATCTGGCTACTAGGGACCAAATTAGCATTTCAGGTTGCCCTGAAGATAAAGAAGTGATGTAAGCCAGATCACATTGTAAGCTGTAAAGGCCCATTTTGAAAATGTGCAAGACTCTTATGGATGGATGTAGAGACATTGATCCTCAGAAAGAAAGGGATGTCATTTCCTATCTCTGTGATTTAATCATTCTTTCTGATGGCTGATAGTAAGGAGCCTGTATTAAGAGACCTGTTGAAAGGTTACTTTTAAACTCGGTCTGAGATTGACTTTAAAAGAGGAAGAATGAATGGTTTCCTGCACTCTGTCAAACCAAACTTAAAATACAGAATCAGGGCGCCAAGAGGACTTTAAAGGACATCTAACTGAAGGCAAAAAACCCTCCCAACATCATCCTAGAGAGCAACGTATTTGCATAGTCCCAGGGACAGAGCGTTCATCCCTCTGAAATGCATCCTGGCCCATCACTAGACCGCTCTGATCCTCAGGAAGTCTCACTTGGTCCTGAAGTCATCTGCAGCCAGCTTGGCGTTGTCGATCTGCACCACCAGCCTGGTGTTCTCAGCCTTGCTGCACAGGATCTGGAAGACCCAAAGCATTCCAGAATCAGCAAGGACTTGGGAGCCCTAGTGGCATAGTACATTATGGCATAGTACATGATGCGTCGGGCTTCTCCACACAAGGTCAGAAGTTCAAATCTACCAGCTGTTCTGTGGGAGAAAGGTGAGGTTTTCTACTCCTAGAAAGCGGGGGCGGTTCTGCCCTGTCCGATCAGATTGCTAGAAGTCAGAATCAACTCAAGGGCAGTGAGGTTTTTATGGCTTTTGTTATTTTCAGCCCAAAACCAAGCCCTATGAACCCACTTACAGGAAGGAGTGTGCTGAGAAACCATAGCATATCGTACACCAGGGGCTTCAACCGTTCATGGAGAAATTCCATCTTCTTTTCATTCCATTTCTCATAAACTTTTTGAAGGCTTCTTGTATGATAGGGGCTCAAATAGATCTGAGAAATCCTATTTCATGCTGCACAGGAACTGGGGAGAGTGTTCATGGTGGCCCTAGAGCAGGGGTCTTCAAACTACGGCCCACGGGCCACATGCGGCCCGCCGAGGACATTTATCTGGCCCACCAGGTGTTTTTCCCCCTTTTGTTTTTTTTTTT